TGTAAAAACCTGGACTGGCCCAAAGAGCTTCTGGGGCATGAGCCCCTGGGGGTGGCACCCACCGCCCCATGAGGACAGCAGCGCCTGCTCCTGGGCCCTGGTCCTTGCCCGGCTGCTGTCCTTCCTCCCCCCACTATGTCTTTCAGGGGATGGTGTTTGCTGGAGTCCTGGGGCCTGACAGCAGAAGTGCCACACTGAGCTGAGATTGTAGGAACCCCAGCCTTGTAGCCAGGTCACACACAAGGGTGGGTGCCCTGGGCCCCAGTCCTTGCATTGGCTTCTGCAGGGTTAGAGTTAGGGTTAGTTAGAGTAGTAAGGAGTGAGCTGTGATCTGTGCTGACTTGAGGTGGTCTGCAAAAGAGCCTCTGGCTGGCCTATGGAGATCAGGGGGGTGGACTCCTCACTGTGTTGGGCACGGGCTCCCAGGGCCAGCTGGATCTGCCCTGTTCTCGAGCAGTTAGGTGTGATCAGGGAATTTCTAGCAGCGTCTTCAAATCTTAATTTATCTAAAAACCACAGAAGAGACTTAACAGAAAAATACACAAAGGACTTTTTGTTCTGCGGTAGAAAGCCATGGCCCCTGCCTGTGCTTTCCTGCATTTGCTGGTCGCCTCCCCCACTGCCCTCCCCCAGCCCTGGCAGGAGCTCTCCAGCAGACCTGAATGCAGGGGCACCTTGTGCAGACGCTGCTGCTTCTAACCTATGTTCTTTGGCTAGTGCAGCCTTTTCCACCCACATTTTTTATGGTCAAAAAGGACGTGGTGTCTCATTCTGAATTCATGTTATTTTTATAAGACATCAGAATTCTTTCCCCAGGCTGCCAAGAATGTTTCTTAACTGGTTATCCTTGTGGAACCTTAGCCAGCCTGGGAATTTTGTCCCCTTTGGGGCTCACAAATAATGGCATTTCTGAACCCACCCTCAGGTTGGGACACCTACCTGAGATGCCTACTGTGCTTTTGAAGTTCTTTCCTTTTAACTCCCCTGCTCTGCATTCAAATTCCAGCTGACTTTGGTTAAAACCAGCTTCTGGTGTTTGGCACCAGCTGTGAACACCATAGACCTGGCCTGATTGGGAGGAGGGGCCTGCTGGCACTTGGCTTGCTATTAAAACATCCCCTCGCTTTCATGTGCAGTGGGGACTTTGGCCTCCCCCTTCTCCCAGCAGAAGGGCCCTTAGAGATGAAGGAGCTCGTTTATAACCTGTGGTCACGGAGGCTCTGGAAGGGCCTGGTTCAACGTGCTCACTGTTTCCATCTTTGGTCTCCAGCTTGTGGCCAGCGAGTGTGGGATGTTTTCAGTTTTCTCTTTATCTTGCCTGTGTTGACTTTGCTCAGCTACCCAGCAGGGCAAGTGACTCTTTAGAAGTTGTGTTTGAATGTTCTTTGGCTTCCTAGAGTGAGGGAATTCTAGGCAATTGCAAGAAGACTTTGGGAAGTTCCTGGAACATGGAATTAAGAGAAGCATTTAGGAGCTAACCATTGTAGTAGAGCAAGTAAAGCTGCTTCTTGCAATGCCAGCCTTTCACATGGGTCCTGATTGCTCCACTTTTGATCCAGCTCCATGCTGATGCTCCTGGGAAAGCAGAAGAGGGTGGCCCGAGTGCTTGGGTCCCTGTACCACGGGAGACCTGGAGGCAGCTCCTGGCTCAGCTCTGGCCATTGTGGCTACATGGGGAGTGAACCAGCAGACGAAAGAGCGCTCTGTCTCTCCTTGTCTATGATCCTCCTTTCAAATAAAAACAAATAAATCTTGAAAAAAAAATAAATGAAATGGATTCTGAAAACAAAGAGTCAATTTTGATGCAAAAAATGTTGAAATCCATAGTCGTCTTCATAATATACAAGTCGTCCATGAGATATTTGAAGGTGTACGGATTTAAGCATTTTTGAACCAAAATAAACTTTAAAAAATGTTTGTTTATTTTTGCTTGAAATACAGATTCATCTACTTGTTTCCATCTGTCACTCACTCCCCAAGTGTCCATGTGGTTGGAGCTGAGCCAGGAGCTCTCCGTGTCTTCCACATTGTAGAGTCCAAGGCCTGAGCCATCCCCTGCTGATTCCCATGGCACGGGTAGAAGATGGTCAGAAGAGCAGCACCTGGGACTCGTGGGGTGGGCGCCAGTGCTGGAGACCAAATATCAGCCTGTACTTGCTCTCGCTGCAAAATAAATCTGTTTGTTTGTTTATTATTTTTTTTTTTAATTGGAAAGTCAGAGTTGCAGAGGGAAGGAAAGACAGAAGGATATTCTATCCACTGATTGACTCCCAGAACAGTCGCAAAGGCTAGAGCTGAGCAGATCCAGTCCAAAGCCAGGAGCCAAGAACTTCCAGGTCTCCTACGTAGGTACAGAACTCCCCCAGGCCTTAGGCAGGGAGCTGGATGGGAAGCAGAGTAGCTGGGACATGAACCGCCACCCATATGGGATCCTGAACATGCCACTAGGCCATCATGCTAGGCCCAAATAAGTTAAAAAAAATCTGGGGACCCAGTGGCGTGGCCTAGCGGTTAAAGTCCTCGCCTTGCACACAGGGATCCCATATGGGCGCCGGTTCTAATCCCAGCAGCTCCACTTCCCATCCAGCTCCCTGCTTGTGGCCTGGCCTCAGGACCCTGCAACCACATGGGAGATAGGAAGAGGTTCCTGGCTTCAGATTGGCTCAGCTCCAGCCAACGCAGCTGCTTGGGGAGTGAACCATCGGATCCATCAGATGGAAGATCTTTCTCTCTGTCTCTCCTCTTCTCTGTATATCCGCATTTCCAATAAAAATAAATAAATCTTTAAAAAAAATATTTTACTTATTTTTATTATTACCATTTTATGATACAGTTCCATAGGCTCTGCAATTTCAGCTGGGCCGTCCTCACCCAGGCCATCCTCCAAGCCTCCCTGTGGGTGGCAGGCCCAGGCACCTGAGCCGTGCTTACCCAGGCCATCCTCCAGGCCTCCCCGTGGGTGGCATGGCTGTCAGCTGAGCCATCCTCACCTAGGCCATCCTCCACTGCTTTCCCAGGCCATTAGCAGAGAGCTGGGTTGGAAGTAGAAGAGCTGGGACTCCAGCTGGTGACCATATGGAATGCTGGCACTGCAGGCAGTGGTTCTGTCCACTATGCCACAACACCTGCTCCCAAACTCACTTTTTAATGTGTTTTCCACATCCTGTTTGAAATGCCTTTGGATATACACACATTCATGACAATTGCAGTCCTGTTTCTGTAACTCTCATGTGATCGTTGCTGAAACTACAGCTGTCTTCTGTCCATTCTGTTTTCCCTTTGTGTTCAGCATGTGCCTCAGCTGGTCCCATTCTGTACCTGATGGGGTGACCTCACTTCCATCCTGACAGATCTGGCGGTAGGTTGTAATTCTGCACAGACCTAATCTCAGGGCACAGGAAAGATACCTCAAGGGATCCCACCCCAGACCCTGCTTTCTCATATCCGTGTTGACAGTAGGGCAAGTTCCCCTCAGTGGTTGGGGTCTCTCTGAGCCTGCTGACTCAGGAACACGGGAATCGTAAGGTGGCTGGTCGTGTTTTCACTCACAGCTCAGTGGAGTGGTCATGAGGGAACCAGGGCCTCTCTACTAGCAGAGGAGGAAGTTACAGGGATCAGAGTTTTGCTGGCAGGTCAACAGGGTCAGAGTAGATGGAGCCACTTGTGTTTCCACCCTTGACTCCTGGATCATGGGAGCATGTCCAACCTGCTGGAGGACCTTACCCCGGCCCCGCAGGTGACTGCCCAGCTGGTCCTGTCATTGGACGTCCCCTACTTTGTGGAGCCAGCAGCTTCAGGATGGAGAGCGTGAGCACTTTGATTGGGTCAGGGGATGAGGCCTTCTGAAGGATGCTTGCTACGTGACTTTGCAGTGCCTTAGGTAGGCTTTCCAGGTCTCCTGTCTGGCAGCATGGTGAGGGCAACACAGCTGCTCTGTCTCCAATCTCAGGGAAGTGTGGCTAAGGCTATGTGGGTTTGTGTAAATGAACGCAGTGAGCTGAACTCCATCGCCTTGTTTGGTAAAGATTTTATGGACCAACTAAATACAAATCTTGGATTGGACTTAGTTCCAGAAATGGGTGGGGCACCTGCTCCATGAGGACACCTACCCTGGGCCTGGGTCAAGTTTAAGCTGGAAATCAAACTGCAGGCTCGGTCTCCTGAGTGTGCCTTGCATTTGGAGGTGCAGAAGAGTGGTTCTTAAGGTGGTCGTTCTACAGCTGTAGACATGGCCTCTCTCTCCAGAGTTGGCTGGCTGGTTGCTGGAGCGTTTCAACCATCTCAGGGCAGATGTGTAAGCTTCACTGAGTGTGTCACTTCCCTTGACGTGTGTAACTTTACTGTTTGTGTCACTGCCACTAGGTAACTTGACTGCATGTGTAACTACTCTGTGTGTAATTGCGGTCCTGTGGTTGTATCTTCAGTGTGTGTGTGTAACAGCCGCCTGGTGCAGCAGGGTCTCACCCATGTGCACCTTGTGCTGTGAGAGGATGGTGGGGTTCTAGAAAGGACCCGGTGTTCGTATCAGCTGGAGAAGGAGCCTGTTTGCTTCTGCTTACCAACACTGTCCAGCAGTGGAGCTCACACGTACGTTGGCTTCCCAGGCCTGTCAGTGCATGCGATCAAGGTGGGAGAGGATGTGTTTCTGAGGCTAGTGACCTTGAGCCACACCTCCAGCTAATGCCCACCAACGCCGCTCGTTTCCACCCTTGAGCAAGGCTGCCGTGCCCATCCTGTGTGCACCTTCTGGTGCAAGGGTGGCACATTGGGCCACAGGTGTTGCATGCCTGGGTCTTAAGGAGCTCAGGCCAGACACTGCCAAACGTCGGCCACACACCGGTGCTGTAAGGGAGAGTTTGGCCTTGCTGGAGTGGCCAGGTTTTTTCATCCTCCCTCCGAGCAGTTGCGTTTCCTTGATTATGAAGTTGCTGTTGGAGCAAGTCTTGTTCATTTTGCTGCTATTCGAGTGACTTTGAGAAACCAAGTGTTCTCTGTTACAGGATGACATGATGATGCCACAGAGGGTGAGGCTGCAGCATGAGGCCGCCACCCAGCACCCTAGCAGCGTGAGTATACCTCCTCCCGCCTGCAGTCACCATGCTCCTTCCTAAATGCAGGCTTCCTTTTTTCAAGATTTCTTTTTATTGGAAAGGCAGACTTATATAGAGAAGGAGAGACAAAGATCTTCCTTCTCTTGGTTCACTCCCAAAGTGGCCCCAACGACCAGAGCTGAGCTGATCTAAAATTGGGACCCAAGAGCTTCCTCCAGGTCTCCCACACGGGTACAGGGTCCCAAAGTTTTGGACCATCCTCCACTGCTTTCCTAGCCCACAGGCAGAGAGCTGGAGGCCGTTTGGGATCCTGGTGCTAGCAAGGTGGAAGATTAGCCAGTTGAGCCATTGTGCCAGGCCATAAATGCAGATGTTCACAGTGGCTATCTTGGGCTGGTGCGGTGGCGTAGTGGCCAGCATCCTACATGGGCTTGGTTTGTCTCCCGGCTGCTTCACGTGCAGTCCAGGTTTCTGCTGCTGCACCTAGGAACACAGAAGAAGATGGTCCAAGTGCTGCCCGTGTGGGAGACCTGGTCACTGTAGCTGTCGCAGCCACATGAGGGTGGTAGGCCTTTTGGTCCGTGTCTCTAACTCTGCCTCCAAGTAAGGTGTTTTTTTTTGTGGTAGTGGTTGTTTTTAGGAGAAAAGGGTGCCTGCTCCGTGGATGTGCAGGGTCCTCGGGCGAGGTCCAGGAGGTGCAGGCACTTCTGCGTGTGCTGCATTTCTGGTGAGGGCAGGAGGGAGCCCTGGGAGTCCACTAAGTTCTTGAAGGGTCAGGATTAGCGTGCTAATCAAAGCATTGAGAATATGCCGTGTCTTAACTCTGGTTGGCAAAGACGCTAGGAAGGGTCTGATGGTGTTGGGCACCCACAGGTCCCTGGGACAAGAGGCCTTGTGCATTACAGTGACTTGGGGAGTTCTGTCTCCGTCCCCCGAGATGCTAGCCAGCTTCTCAGGGAGTAGATGCACAAGCTACATGCTAATCTGCTTCCTCAGTTGGGAAAAGTAAAAGAAGAAAAAGAAAAAAGTCATCTGGGCCGATTTCTGTGTAGCACATGGTTTCTTTCAGCGGCCCCAGTAGGTGTGATGATACACCTCGCGTACAGGAGAGAACGACCCACAGGCGGGGAACGAGACCCAGTTCTGCCCAGCGGAGGTTACCCTCAACGGCCAAGTTAGTGGAAGTAGTTCTTTGCCTCTTCCTACAACCCAGTAATCGCATCAGACGGAAGTCCAGCAGACCCCGCCCCAGGCGCTGTGCTGCTGTGTGCCAGTGAGTCTCCCTCACATCAGAGGCTTGTTTGCACAAGCCGGGAGGTCTCAGAGTATGTAACAGGCATCACACCTGGGGTACTTGTAAGAATATTCTAGAGACTGAAATACTTTCAGGTAGGTCTATTTTCGTACTGAAAACGTTGCATTCATGAGGTTGTTTTTGGCTCTCTCTGAGTCCTGTGGTGTTTGGGGATGCCCAAGAATGTGGAAAAATGCGACCGTTGATTTGTGTTAATGGATGCGGCCTTGGTTTATATTTTACACATTGTCTCAAGTCCTTCTCCCTGGCCTCCCACTGGTGTCTCTGCACCCACAGGGGAACCTGGCAGCCCCTCTAGCCGTACAAGAGCCCTGGTGCCCTGGGTCTTGCCAGGAGCCTGTGCCGCGCGGAGGGTGGGGACCATGGCAGCCAGTCAACCGCTGAGAAAGGTGGTTGCTGTGAGGCTGGCTTCTTTTTAAGCATGACCTACAAACTCTTAATTTGTAGTTGCCAGTTGGTGATTATGTCAATTATACTGTAGACTTTGTTCTGAAAGAATGCAATGAATGCTGGCTGTATGCTTTTACTTGGTCATTTTCTTTAAAAATACCACTTATGAGAAAACCACTTAATTAGGAATGAAACATCCTTGATGACAACCTTTATAATGTGTGCAGTTGGATGTAAATCACTGCCAAACTTCTTAAATTTTACATTCTGAATATCATTTGATAGCTCTAAGTACAATGTTTGTTCCTGTTTATTCATCATTTTTAATTGAAAGGCAGAGTTTCACAAAGAGAGGGAGACACATAGAGCTCTGTCACCCATCGGTCACATTCCCCAAGTGTCTGTGGCAGCCGGGGCCGGGCTGGGCTAGGGTAGGAGCCAGGTGTCCCACCCAGTGTTCTGGCAGCAGGGTCCAAGCACTGGGTCCCTTTCACACTAGCATGTCCTGGATTGGAAAAACCCCAGCTAGGATTTGAACCAGTGCCACTATGAGATGCTGGTGACACAGGCAGCAGTGTAGCTGGCCTCTCTTCCCTCAGCTGTCAGATCTGGAACACAGTCTGGGAAGAGGCGAGGGCCCCAGGGTGGGTAGGAGGGTGAGCAGGGAGGGAGCTGCCTGGGAGTGATCTCGGCCTGGGGCCGAGGGCCCTGTGTCCTGGGGCCAAGTGCTGATGGCTGGCCTCCTGGGGTCCCAACATCTGGCCCCCACTCCAGAGGAGTGGCCAGTGGCTTGCTGTCTGGGGTCCACGGACACCAATGGGGTGCTGAGGGGGGAAGGGTGACGGGACCGCTGTGGGTGAGCTCGTCTGCATCTCAGGGTTGAATAGCATGAGGGCCGTCACATCCCAGGCCCTCTGTGAAGTCTCACCAGAAGGGTGGGCTCACACTCATCCACCAGGGGCCTGACTGCAGGACAGTAGGTGGGAGCTGCCATGGCCAGGACTCCTGCAGCCCAAGGTCCTGTTTCCAGAGCCTGGCTGGTGTGGTGTGGAGGGGCACTTCCTCACAGCCCCAGGCAGTCATTGTCCAGCTGGAGAGAGCAGTTCTCCAATGCAGCCATGGCTGCTGCTTCTGCTTGTATCAACCTGCTATGATGTGGGAGCAGCAAGACCAGTTGTTGCTGGGCACCTAGGGCTGAGTCGTGGCTGGTGTGGTATCATGTTTGTACACACACAAAGCACACAGCCTATACTTGAATTGTGTTACGCATCTGTGTTACATGTGTGGTATCCTCAGAAACTTTGTGTAAAATGTGTACTTTGGAGGAAAAAGGCAACATAGATTTAAAAGATTTGTACACCAAAAGCTTGTAGACAAAGCTTATTTTTCGTTCCTTTCTCCTGTAGACGTAGAGGTGCCCTTGTGTGTGCATGGGTCATAAGTATGTTATGATTGTGTGAAGGAGTGGCAGGACACTGCATATACAAGGGCAATCAGCAGGTGTGAACAGAGTCCTGTTGAGTACACGTGAGGAGTGGGAGCAGTGCCTTGACTCCCATGCCACAGCACCCCATGACTAATACATATGTGCATTTGTAACATGTATGCACCGTGTCTGTGTAGTGTGTCTGTCATGAAGTGCCTCCTTTGCTGAAGGTCATCAGCTGAAGGAGACAGTGGGAAGGTTGTTCTCTACAGAAGCTGCTGCCTGAGAAGCAGGTTGCCCGGGCTTTTATTGCAAGCGAGGTGGGAGTGTCCAGCAGGTGGAAAGGGAGGACGGGCTGGTCTCTGGCATCATTCCTTGTCCTCTGCGCTGGCCCTCCCTGAACTGCCTCTGACAGGCAAGCTTGGAGGAGCAGGCCATTTCCGATCCAGTGCCCCCTTCCTGTGCCTCTGAGTGTCATACTCGTGCACCCCCCGCTCCTGCCTGGGGGGACTGATGGAAGCCACTGTCAGGCAGGCATGGCCTCACCCATGCTCTGGGTTTTAAAGGTGTTCAGAAGTCTAGCAGGGCTGGAACATGTGGGGAGCTGCATGGTCAGAGCAGGGTCTGGTCCCATGGCATGCATTCCAGTCTGTGATCTCAGCTTTACCCTGGAGTCTGCCTGAGGAAGCCTGACGGCAGGACTGCTGTCTGCTGAGGCATGCGGCTGTTCAGTGCACTGTGGCTTCCCAAGGCCGTGTCTGAGTGTGGCAGGCTAGCTGCTGCAGAGGTCGAAGCTGTCCCTTCTAAGGACTGAGTGGTGAGGGGACCTTGGCACAGCCTGTGTGGGCTGTTCTCTGAGAGACTGTCGTGGGAGAACACTAGGGTGGCGTTGTAGCTTGTGCTCTGTCACCAGGCCATGCATGTGGGAACAGCAGCCGGAGGCCTCGTGCTGGTGACCTGGTGTAGGTGTTGAGGGTAGACCTGCCTACCAGAGGTGCAGTGCCCAGCGGGGCCTCCAGCGAAGCGGTTATGGTGAGCCGAGCAGGCGCCCACCTCCAGGTCTCTTTTTTTGAACCTGAACTATCAGGACTCCTTATTGTGTTAGGGACCCATTATCTGTGTCCTCACACATGCCAGAAGCCAAAACCAGCTTTGCTCAGCATGGAAGGCAAACTGCACTGAGCTCTGAGGTCCCCCTGCTGGGGTCTCAGCCCATGCAGCCTGTGCCAGGATGTGGGGGGCCCGGGGTTAGGGGCTCACGCTGACAGCTGAGTTCCTTTCTCCAAGAAGGGCTTGTCCCGCTCATACTGGACAGCAGGGTTGGGCTCCTCTGCAGGCTCACGCACACTCTGCAGGAATGCTGGCTGGTGGCTGCCTAGCTTCCGGTGTCCCGAGAGATTCTGCCAGAGCACCAGCTTCAAAGAGAGAGAGCAGAGCCCTCATGGTGGTGTAGCATGGTGTGTAGCCAGCTCGGCAAACTGACCACACCCCCTTCCCACGTTGACTAACTCTTCAAGTTTTGGGGTGAGATGGCTGTGTTGTACTTGGCAAGTTAGGGTTGTTGTGGGACTGCCCCGGGACCTGTACTTCCTGCCTCACCTGTTGCCACAGATGCTTGCCCGTGAACTGGCAGAGTGTCTAGAGCCTCACACTCGTGACTCCGTCAGCTAATGTAGGATGTGCGCGGGGAGAGCAGCCCGACACACACAAGGAAGGAAGCACTGTGGCAGTGTGTTTATTCTGGTATGAAAAAGAGCATTTAGAGGAAGGCAGGTTGAGAGCCCCACGTCACCGAGTGGAGTGGCTGATGGCAGCAGATGCAGGAGGCACTGCAGGGAAACAGGGTCGCTTGTACGTTGCTGGCGGGAACAGGGAATCAGGCAGCCCTCTCAGGAAACAGTGGGAAGTTCCTTAAAGCACGAATGTGTAACCACCCTTTAACCCGACCACTGCTGGTGCAAACCTGCGTGTGTGTCCAGAGCAGATGAGCACTGGTCGTCAGCATTCCCTGCCAAGGGCCCTGGTGAGATGCCAGGCACCCACACCACAGTGCTGTCTCCAGCAGAGCCCTGCCAGCCGGCGGTGGAGGTGGTCTTGGTTCTGCTTGGGCTGTATCCTTACAAGGGCACTGCGGTGGGGGCTGTGCTGCCCAGGCTGGGAGCGGGTGTGAGGGGTGGGGGTCCTCAGGCCATCTTGACCTAAACTCTGTGAGTGGACCTGAGGCTCACAGGATGCTACCTGGAGGGGGAACCTGCAGGGGTCACAGGATGAAAGGGTCTCCAGCTCATAGGCCATGACTGCATTATTAACCGCAAAGTACTCACCTGGAATGATGGTTCCTTGGAGCAGGGATGGGCGACAAATGTAGGCAGCTCTTCACACGCCTCCATCTGCCTGTGCCGGGTGCCGGGCTTGTGATCCCTGGCTCCACCTGCCTGTGCCGGGTGCTGGGCCTGTGATCCCTGGCTCCACCTGCCTGTGCCGGGCCTGTGATCCCTGGCTCCACCTGCCTGTGCCGGGCCTGTGATCCCTGGCTCCAGCTTCCTGTGCCGAGTGCTGGGCCTGTGATCCCTGGCTCCACCTGCCTGTGTCGAGCCTGTGATCCCTGGCTCCACCTGCCTGTGCCGGGTGCTGGGCCTGTGATCCCTGGCTCCACCTGCCTGTGCCGGGTGCTGGGCCTGTGATCCCTGGCTCCACCTGCCTGTGCCGGGTGCTGGGCCTGTGATCCCTGGCTCTACCTGCCTGTGTCGAGTGCTGGGCCTGTGATCCCTGGCTCCACCTGCCTGTGCCGAGTGCTGGGCCTGTGATCCCTGGCTCCACCTGCCTGTGCCGAGTGCTGGGCCTGTGATCCCTGGCTCCACCTGCCTGTGTCGAGCCTGTGATCCCTGGCTCCACCTGCCTGTGCCGGGTGCTGGGCCTGTGATCCCTGGCTCCACCTGCCTGTGCCGGGTGCTGGGCCTGTGATCCCTGGCTCCACCTGCCTGTGCCGGGTGCTGGGCCTGTGATCCCTGGCTCCACCTGCCTGTGCCGGGTGCTGGGCCTGTGATCCCTGGCTCCACCTGCCTGTGCCGGGTGCTGGGCCTGTGATCCCTGGCTCCACCTGCCTGTGCCGAGTGCTGGGCCTGTGATCCCTGGCTCTACCTGCCTGTGCCGAGTGCTGGGCCTGTGATCCCTGGCTCTACCTGCCTGTGCCGGGTGCTGGGCCTGTGATCCCTGGCTCCACCTGCCTGTGCCGGGTGCTGGGCCTGTGATCCCTGGCTCCACCTGCCTGTGCTGGGTGCTGGGCCTGTGATCCCTGGCTCCACCTGCCTGTGCCGGGTGCTGGGCCTGTGATCCCTGGCTCCACCTGCCTGTGCCGGGTGCTGGGCCTGTGATCCCTGGCTCCAGCTTCCTGTGCTGGGCCTGTGATCCCTGGCTCCACCTGCCTGTGCCGAGTGCTGGGCCTGTGATCCCTGGCTCCACCTGCCTGTGCTGGGTGCTGGGCCTGTGATCCCTGGCTCCACCTGCCTGTGCCGGGTGCTGGGCCTGTGATCCCTGGCTCCAGCTTCCTGTGCTGGGCCTGTGATCCCTGGCTCTACCTGCCTGTGTCGAGCCTGTGATCCCTGGCTCCACCTGCCTGTGCCGGGCCTGTGATCCCTGGCTCCACCTGCCTGTGCCGGGTGCTGGGCCTGTGATCCCTGGCTCTACCTGCCTGTGCCGGGTGCTGGGCCTGTGATCCCTGGCTCCACCTGCCTGTGCCGGGTGCTGGGCCTGTGATCCCTGGCTCTACCTGCCTGTGCCGAGTGCTGGGCCTGTGATCCCTGGCTCTACCTGCCTGTGCCGGGTGCTGGGCCTGTGATCCCTGGCTCCACCTGCCTGTGCCGGGTGCTGGGCCTGTGATCCCTGGCTCCACCTGCCTGTGCCGGGTGCTGGGCCTGTGATCCCTGGCTCCACCTGCCTGTGCCGAGTGCTGGGCCTGTGATCCCTGGCTCTACCTGCCTGTGCCGAGTGCTGGGCCTGTGATCCCTGGCTCCACCTGCCTGTGCCGGGTGCTGGGCCTGTGATCCCTGGCTCCACCTGCCTGTGCCAGGCTTGTGATCCCTGGCTCTACCTGCCTGTGTCGAGCCTGTGATCCCTGGCTCTTGCAGATCCTGGGAGGCACCAATGTCAGCTCAGGTGTTTGGATCTGTGCCACTCACCCAGGAGGCCTAGGTGGAATTCTGGACTCCTGATTTCAAATAGACACACTAAACAAACAAACAAACAAAAAATCCTTTAAATAACGTGTACCTTTTGATCACTTCCTAGTACTGTTGGTTCACTGATGTTCGTTGCTCTTACTGGCTGCTGTTGAGTTTTTCTTTGCTTACTGGGTAGGGAAGGCTGGCCTTGGTGTTCTGTCCTGTCTTTGTGGTGTCCTGAGGCCTGGGCACTGGGCCTGTGAGAACCTGCACTCATAGGGGCTCTGGTAGCCTGGGTCATTGCCGGGGCACAGCAGGGGCACCTGTCTGCCTTTGGAGCTCCCCTCCCTAGTCCCTGCGCTGAGGGATGTTAAGCAGGCACAGGTGCCCCAGGGGCTCAGCTGAGAACCTGGAAGTGGGACTGGGGAGAGGGAACTGAGTTGACAGCTGATCCACCCAGGTGGTGTCGGGCAGGAAATAGAAAGGCAGAGACACTTTCTTAGGTGATCGCGTGTGTCTGGTGGCCTGGGGGAAGAGTCGGGCATCCTGTGGTTCTGCCAGCAGCCACACAGGAGGAGGGCCTGGGGCAGGACAGAGGCGCGCTGCCTGGCACCTTGAGTGTGCTGCCCAGAGCCTGAGCTGCCAACTGCTGGGCCAGGAAGAAAAATATTGGAGGCACTCATAGTTTGACCTTGTCTTTGGGTCATTTTAATTTTGTACAGAAAGGGAAACAGTATCCATGATGCATTTGTTTTTATTTTATTTGAGAGACAAAGAGAGGCACGGAAAGAATTCTTCCACTTGTTTGCTTATGCCCTGATGCCTGTGATGGCCAGGACTGGGCAAGGCCCAGGCTGGGAGCTGGGGACACACTCCTGGTCTCCCAGCACTGCCTCTCAAGGTACACACACTGGGAAGCTGGCCCGAAGGCAGAGCAGGGCCTGGAAACAAGTCCCTGCTCCTGTGACTTGGATCTGGCTGTGGGTAGCTCAGGTCACGTCATGGGGGTCTGTCACCAGGCTCCTGCTGGGGGCAGCTCAGGTCTCGTCGTGAGGGTCTGTCACCAGGCTCCTGCCGGGGGCAAGGTCACCACCTCTTCAGCCCTCACTCCAGCTCTTATGTTTGTTTCCTGTCTGTGCGTGTGGAGGTGTGATACACCAGGCTCAACCATTTTTGTTTGTTCTTCCCAGATCATAGGGTGCCAAGTGAGGAGAGATCCCCCGAACTCCACTGAGCGATACACACGTTGGGTCAACCAGCTGACACCTGACCAGCTCCTGACACAGGTACCCCCAAGCGTGGTTGGAGCAGCTGGCAGAACCAGGGTGTCTGACGTGGCTACATGTCGCCACTGTCCTTCACATGGTGGCAGGGTGCTGGAAGGGAGCACCTGCACACACTTGATGGTCTAGGCCAATGTAGGATCCACCCAGAAAACCAGCCATGGTGCTGTGGCTGTGGCTGTAGACATGAGAGAGGCCATGGGGGTGACTGCCTTAGATCTGGCAGGCACCTTCTGAAAGGGGATGTGGACATGTTGTGTGGATTGTTGGTGTCTCATGTTACATCAGGGCAGCCTTGGGCCAGAGTAGGCTGAAGTTGAGGTGTTGGTCTGGGTGCTGAGACTGGATGTGCCGTACCAGAATGGGATGCTGGGGCGCACCATTGCTGTCCTTCAAGTAGAGACGCCAGGACGGAGCGAGTGCCTCGGTCGCCCTTTGCAGCCAAGCCGCTGACTGCCAGAACAGTACTGACCTGGCCAGGGGTGACTTCCAGGGGCAGACCACACAGTGTGGGTTCTTGATCCACTCCACAGGGCCAGGGTTTGTATGCATACAGATTTGTTTTTATTTTGATAATTCTCAAGGTTACATAGTAGTATACAAATACAATTTAAAAGTAACTCTCAACATTTGTAAAAATTCTCATTGTTAACAGAGAAATTCAAACAAGAATAAGGAGTGTTGCCCAACCTGCCAGTCTGTGGAAGTATGTGCTATGCTGGCAGGGCCCTTCCAGATGTTTCCCTGATGGGGGTCACACAGCTGCCACTGAAAGACCCTGCCCTGTGGTTGTCGTGCATTGAAGTTCCCGTGTGATCTTTCTCAAAAGCTACTCTAGGCAGAGATCGAGAGAAGAGAGAGCCGGGTCATGGCAGGGAACCTCTAGGTGGGATCTGTGAGACTGTGTTTTCTTTAGGGGTCTCAGGTTGGGAGTGGTGTTTTAGGAAGTGCCAGGTCACGTGGAGTACCCCACCCAGTGGCCACAGGCTGAGGCTGTTTGCTCCCCCACACGTTCCAGCTGCTTGGCTGGCTGTCGGACCCAAGCATTCCTGAGGGCTGGTTTCAGGGCCACGTGGGGCTGTCTGGCTGAGTCACGAGTTCCCTTTCGGATTCCTTCCAACAAAAGCTGCCCTGCAGGATTTAAAGGGCGCTCTGCTGGTCTCCACCACGGGATCACTCATCAGGGACACCCGAGGTCCTCCTGGAGGTACTGCCCTGGCTGTGCGCATGGTGATGATTCAGACCTTGTTTTCTGGGGTGTGTGATGGGGAGAAATCCCCACCCAAGTAGGAGCATCAGTTAACCTGCCTTCATCCAGCGTTCCTTGGTAGGACACAGGCTGCAGCTGTTGGTGCTTCCCCTAACCTGGGGAAGCAGGCTATCAGTTCCACTTCTCTCTTTTGTACAAGTGTGGTACTTTCTAAGGGAGAAGGCCCAGGTGCCAGGCCTCCAATTCTTCTTTTAAATTTTATTTTTGATGATGTTTACATGGTTGAGAAGGGTAGACGCCCATGTGGACAGCTGATTAGGGTGGGAAGGTCAAGGAATGTGGGAAAGTGGGTGAGACAATTGTTTCTAACTTTGTTTTTCTTGTTGTATGTGGAAGAAGGGAGGAGAGAAGGAGAGGGCTACCCCCAGCAGCCTAACCACATGAGTAGCCAGGGATGTGGGACTGCCACTCAGTGTGACCCCAGTGTGGATCAGAAGGCACTGCTGAGGTGTTGTTGGTTTCATTGCTCCAAGGTTGAGGAAATCTTTCCAAGGCCCACTGGCTGACACAGTTCCCCTTAGAGTCTCCACTCACCCAGATCCTTGTGTCTGATTGATTCTGTCCTCTGTCGTACTGGATGTCCTCTGCAGCCTCAGTGAACTGCTGTCATGTCCCCCATGAGTGTCTGGGCATGCCGTCCACTGCACAGGCTTTACCCAGTTCTGACATGTGCACCCCACAGTCAGACCACACAGATCCTGTGATTTTCCCCATGGTTGGAATTTTGAGACTAGTGGTCCAGTTGGGCGGGGTGGGGGGACTCCCCAAAGAAACCTCAACCTGACTGGTGTGTGTGGCAGCCAGTGTGGGGTCTGGCTCATTTTGTTAACCACGTCACACACACACTGTTGGTTGCAGTAGCCCAGCCTGTTCTGTCCCTAGCCCCATCTCTTGCACAAACCAGTGAGTGTTGTGGCCCAGCCCACCTCTGCCCACCATGCACTCTGCCCTCATGTACACCAGTGGGAACTGCAGCTTAGTTGAAACAACTTACCAAGAACCCCACCAGGCTCGCCCCAGCCTTGGCTCAGGCACATGCCAATATGTACAGTGAACTAGTCCATTTGGTCCCACATCCCATTCCGTTCTTGTACACATCAATGGTTGTTGCGGCCGAGCTCAGCCCAGCTGACCCCACTATCTAGTACATGCGTATGCTGGTGGGTGCTACCACCTCTCCAGCCAGTCCCGCCCCCAGCCCTGGTTCTCATGCTCAGCGGTGGGAGCTGCAGCCCATCAGCGGGTTACCCATGGTTTTCGTACTAGGCCTGCTCCCAGCCCCGGATCTTGCACTTTCCAGGTAGACTGTGGTCTAGCAGGACAGGACTTGCGCTCATTCCAGCATTTGCCAGCCGATGCTGCAACGAAGCCTGACCAGCCCGCCACTCACTCTGGCTCATGCACACATAGGTGCATATGGTCACTTAGCCCAGCCCTCAGGCCAGCAGTTCTTGGTGAGTTATGGCAGCTTTCCTTGTGGCCTAGCAATGAGGCAGGGCCAACTCTCGGGCCCTGTGTTTTGTGGATGCCAGCCCTTGGGAGTGCTGTTTAAGTTCGCTGGAGAGAGAGAAGGAACAGGGGAGCAGTGCGCACAGTACGGGGGTGGGGCGGGGGGGGCAGTGCACAGGAAGGTCCTGAAGCTGGGAACCTGAGACTTGATCCCGCTGTTGGCAGGGATCCTGGCACTTGAACTATCACCTACTCCTTGCCAGGGTACTCAAACCCAGGTCCTCCGAAGTGGGATGCAGGTTTGTCACTGGGCACCGCCAGGCTAAGTGCCCACTCCTAAGAGTTTTAAATTTGGTATCTGAACAAATGACCGACAGCTCTGTCCTTGGCTGCTGGCTGCCTGCACCTGGCTCCTGTCTGTTGCCCCCTCTCCAGTGACTTGGGGCAAATCCTAGACCCATGCGGCCCGCTGTGGAGGTTTCCACTCAGCTCCACACTGCTGTTCCACTTGTATATCCCTCAGTGGCTCACACCCCTGTCTGAGTTGTTAGAGTAAGGCTCTAATCTTCACTTATTTAGGTCTTCTCTTGCTTTCTGTTTGATTTGTCATTTTCTATGGGGGTGTTTACTAAGAGAGCAAGATGCTCCTGTTGCCGCCACCATCACTGACGTGTTATCTGCACTGTCCAATACGCAAGATCATTTTGACCACGTCTCTGGGAGAAAAGGGCTCTCAGACTCACATGATTTATCTGACCTAAGAAATGAGATTCTGTGTGTCTTCCAGGGTACAGTGTGTCTCCTCACAGCACCCACCTTCCTCCTCCTCCCTGCCCATCCCGTCCCTCTCCCCTCCCTCCTGTCTCTTCCTTCTCCCTCCTCGTCTCCTCCTCCCTCCTCCTCCCCTCCCTCCTCCTCCCTCCCATCCCTGTGTCTCTCCCCCTCCCCAATCCCCCCCAGCCCTCATTTGAGTTAGGATCCACAGGAAACCCACATTGTTGATGCATCTCTTTCAGTCTGAATTTTGCCCTTGTTTTCTGTGCTCTGTGGTGTGGCGGGTGTTGGGTGACTGACTGGTTGGTAGCTCCTTCAGCAATGGGAAATGTGTTCATATCCTCCTCATTCTCCTGGGTGCCGGGTACTGGCACTGAGGTCAGAGACGTGATGAGAACTGTGGCTGTTTATTTGTCTGGTTTGTTTTCGCATGGCTGTGTTGTTGTATAACTGACGTGTTCTGACATCCTGAACTGCCTGTTACGTCAAGGACATTCCATCCCCGTGAGCCTCAGTGCTCGCCCCGTCACTTCATATTCCCTCTGTGAGTGCACTGGTCAGGTCAGCTTCACAAGAGGGGGCGTTTGTGCTGTGGATTCTCTGGCCAGCTGCCTTCTCCCTGTTCCCACACTGCCCATGTGTGGCCACACTGAAGATGGTCCCATCACGTGGTCACAGTGGCACTGCAGTGAGTGCCTGGTGCATATGATGCACACGTGGAGTGCATGACTGCACCCTTGCTCAGGTGTGCGTGGGAGAGCGTGTAGCTGGTTCATGTGGTAGATAGGTGTTTGGTTCAGGACAGGTTGGACTGGCTTACATTCTCATGCAGCACAGCATATGGGTTGGTGAGTGTGGACACCTAACGTGGTCACACCTCGGGTTGCCGTGGGACCTCGTGGCTTCAGGGTTGTAAGTGTGGACACCTAACGTGGTCACACCTCGGGTTGTTGTGGACCTCGTGGCCTTGGGCTTGTGAGTGTTGACACCTAACGTGGTCACACCTCGGGTTGCCGTGGGACCTCGTGGCTTCAGGGTTGTAAGTGTGTGGACACCTAACGTGGTCACACCTCGGGTTGTTGTGGACCTCGTGGCCTTGGGTTTGTGAGTGTTGACACCTAACGTGGTCACACCTCGGGTTGTTGTGGACCTCGTGGCCTTGGGCTTGTGAGTGTTGACACCTAACGTGGTCACACCTCGGGTTGTTGTGGACCTCGTGGCTTCAGGGTTGTAAGTGTGTGGACACCTAACGTGGTCACACCTCGGGTTGTTGTGGACCTCGTGGCCTTGGGTTTGTGAGTGTGGACACCTAACGTGATCACACCTTGGGTTGCTGAGGGATCTCGTGGCTTCGGGGTTGTGAGTGTGTGGACACCTAACGTGATCACACCTCAGGTTGCCGTGGGACCTCGTGGCTTCGGCTTGTATCTCACCCCAACGAGCAGTGTTCACCGTCTTCCCGTGTGTCTTTGGTAAAGTGTCTGTTCTCCACTCATTGTATGGTGGTTTG